TTGGGGTGTGAAGTGGCGGGATCCGTTCCCCCCCACCCCTCCTCACCCCCAGACGAGCTGCGCGTGGCTCCATCTCATGCCCTGCTCCACCCTGGCTGGGCCTCTGCCTCTGCCCCTCCCCCTGCCCTATTATCTTCCTCACCGCATGGCCTCAATCTGCATCCCCCTGCCCCCCCCAGGGCCCTTCCCTCCCCCTGCCCCTTCTCCCCCACAGACTTACCAACCAAACACTGATCTTCAAGCTGCTGGGCTGTGGTTGCACACATGCACACAGCATTTATCGGTGACGTTGTTGGCTACACTGGCCAAAATAAATGATTGCCGATGCCAAATTTCCTTTATTGGTGCACCTCTAGTAGTGAAAGTTGTTTTAAACTACGGCTTAGAATTTAATAAGATCTCAGCTTTTCTGCCTGATAATGCATTTTGTGTGTGCAAAGCTTTCTCTGAAGTGCTCTGTAGAATAATGCCCAGCACAATTCATGTCACCTGCAATACACACATCCTTTCTCTAGTAAGTGATGTCTGGCGTGCACATTTTCCTGATGTGGATAACCTGGTTTCCTCTTTTAAAAAGTGTTCAAACATTGTCTAGGCCGTAAGCTTCAATATAGGGAGTCCATTGCCAATCAAACCAGGAATCTACATGCAACTGTGTCACTTCCACCAGAGCCAGTGCTTACAAGGTGGAATTTGTGGTTCAACTCAGTTCATTACCATGCCAAAAATATGAAGTACCACCCAGAATTTCTGTGCGAGGCGCTTGAAATCACACCTGGCACACAGCAGATGCTTAAACTACATGATCTCTTAAGACAGGGTTACATTGAAGCTGAAGTTTAAGTTTGTGGTTGAAAATGAGATCCAGTTTATGGAATTTCTAATGTGGTTTGAAAGTTGGCAGGTGGTGTTCCATGAAGCACACAACACACTGATGGATTTGATAAGTTGGGTCAAAGACATGGCATCAAAACAGCATTCAAACTGTCAACATGAAAAGCAGTGAAGACAAGAACTGTTCCAGGCAACAGCTGCAAAGCTGAATCAGTACTACAAGTATGATCAGTCACTACCACTGCGGTTTAAACAACTGGCTGCCTCCTTTTCTAGTGCTAGTCGCATTTTTAATCCCAATATCTGCCTTTTCTGAGATTTGACCCTCAGCTACTGAAATCAATCCCTGGATCACAGAAAGAGCATGACAAGGAACCTGCTGCTTAAAGGAACTTGGTCAGAGTGCCAGGTGCCTTTGACTGTGACTATATTTTTTCAGTCTGTTTGTTTCTGATCATCTTATGTAGCAGAAAGCCCCCTTTTCCTCTTGCCTGCATTTGCTCTCCCCTCTTTGAATATGTTTTTCCTTTTCTACCTTTTCTTCCTTCCTCTTTCTTTCACTTTAAGATAAGGAATTGTGTTTTAAAATGTGTGTGCGCGCATTTTGTATCTCCCCGTGTATTTTGGTATTTTTATCTATTTGTGTGCCATGGCATTACTTTTGTAGCTTATATTTTATGCTCCTCACCTTTCAACTAAATGTGTTTAGTTTTAGAAGTAAGTTATACACTGTAACAATGCTAACAAGGGCAGGAGTCAAACTGCCGCTTCCCTGTATCAGGAGGGCCCCTGAAAGAGCGAGTGAATCAGTGATTGAATGTGTAACACAGTAGCAGGCAGAAATTAACACCTGGGAAACTGTAGATCAACCAACAGAAGAAATCAATAGAAGACAGTGTAGCAACCGGGACATCTCTAAACATCACTGATCAAGGGCTAGAAGCCCTGGCCTGAGTTAATCAATGCTGGGGACCAACTTTTGGGCTGAATATCTCCAGATTGATCACTCCCAGAGTCCTATTTAAAATTCATCAACGGACTCCCAAACCTGCATGTATATGCGGACGAAACCTGGGGCTGACAGATGCCATCCAGTAGCCACCGAGGGGGGAAGTCCCACGAGGGTCAACAACCCCTGGATTGGGCAAATCTGAAAACTGGGGAGTCACCAAAGTCTGCCAAGGACAGATAAAAAGCAGTGAAAAGTGATCCTCAGTGGCGCCCTCTTGATCTCCAACTCAACCAGCACCCGACCTGTCCAGCCAGAAGGACCAGCCGGCGACCCCCTTCTGGAAGATAACATCATGCTGAAAGAAGCCTCAACGACAGACTCCAGCGCCAGTGGGATAGGTATACCTGACTCTCGTAGCTTGCTACTGTGTGTGTGCATGTGTGTGTGTGTGTGGGTTGGGGGGGACGACCAGCCCCAAGGTTTATGATTTAACTTCATTACAGTGCTTCAATCCGCCTAATAAACCAGAATTTTAAGGATCCTGAATGGACATTTGTAACCAACACTTCGACAGCTCCACAACTTGGCAAAATGCTGCTTTACCATTCCAACTCCTTCAGTGGAAGCAAAACATATGATCTCAAAGTATGAACAAGCATTCATACCGGACAGACAGAGGATATCAGGTGCAGCTGCTAGTGGATGCTGCATGTGTTTAACAACTAACATGAATTATTTCTATCTAGATTAGCATTATTTAACATTACTAAACTTCTTGTAGAATGTTAATAATTAGAGGTGCACCAATACATCAGTCCCATATCAGATTGGCACCAGTGGAAGGAAAATTGACAATATTGGCAATCGGTGTTTTTTGGCTGACGTGGCTGATCGATGTCACCGATAAATGTCCCGTGCATGAATGCAGCCACAGTGCAGCACACGGGAGGCCAGGAGTGTGGCCCAGCAGCATGGAGAGCATCCAGATCCAGCTGGTAAGTCTGTTGTGAGGGAAGGTGCGTGGCGGGGGGGCAGGCAGATCGAGGCCCCTGTGGTGAGGAAGGGAGTGAAGTTAGGGCAGGGGCAGGGGCAGGAGCTGTACAGGTGTGGCAGGGTGTGGGGCGCAGGATGGAGCTGTGAGCAGCTCCTCTGGAAGCCACAGGGAGAGGGTGGTGGCTCCTGCCACTGTACTGCACGCACTCTGGGAGCATGTCCCAGATCTGTATGCAGGGGAAGGATGGGCCGCAACTGCAGGCTGGGACTGGCACAGGGACCTTCCTGGTGGGGGGTTGGGCTGGTGCTGCACTTGGGGCAGGCAGTGGCAGTGCTGGGAAGGGGCTACTGAGAACGTTCTGGTGGCTGCAGTCCCCCCGTCCTGTAGCCCCTTTCCCAGCACAGTCTAGCCTAGTCCCCCACTGAGAAAAGCCTGGCTTTGCCCTTGGCCCCAGATCGCAGTGGCAGCCCCTCCCCACCCCACACACGGATCCAGGCAGGGGCACACACCCCCATGCCCTTCTGGAGTGTGTGTAGCAGCGGGAGCTGCCATCGCCCCCTCCCCCATCCTTCCCAGATGAGCACTGTGCAGCACCTGCTCCTGCCCCAGCCCCACTCCCTCCCTCACTGTGGGGGCCTCAATCTGCCCCCCCACACACACCCCTTCCCCCACCTTCCCCCACAACACACTTACCAGCCGGATGCTGCTCTCTAGGCTGCCCACCTGCATATCAGCAATCAGATCGGTATTGGCTGATATGGCTTGCTAAAAACTCGGAATGTGACTCTGCCCAGGGCCCTAACCACATGCTCCCAGAGCCCTGCAGTCTTGGGGTTTCCAAGGAAACCAGCCAAGACCTGCATGGGCAGGGTGTGTGGCGTTGGGGCTGCAGGTGGGTGGGGAGCTGTGTCTAGGACTGAATCTGGGATCTGGAGGCTGTGACAGTCTGGGACCAGGGCTAGGCCCAGGCCAAAGCCATGATCTGCTCCCTGCATGCACCTGCCCACGGATCCTACACCCATCATGAGGGTGTACATGGACTGGATTGCAGCTTTAACCTGGCTCCAGCCCCATGATGTCAGCACCCTGCAATTCTGCCCCATGATCCTGGCCTTTCCTGCCTATCCCACTCCCAAACACAGCTCCCTGCCTTCCCATGGCCCTATCCCATCTGGCCAGTTGCGTGCCCTGCCCAAGTGGGTCTTGCCCTCAGTGGTGGGTGCAGGGCTGACTCACTGGGGTACCTGGGCAGCAGTGCTGGGTCTGACAGTGGTGGCAGCCAGAATGAGCTGCCACTGCAGAGAAATGAGTCCAGCCACTGTGCCCTGCTGCATGCCTAGAGGCAGCAGGACTGGTTGCATGAGTCACCATCCAGACTGCCCCACATGCCTGAGGTGGGAAGGACCTAGGGACCTGCCACGGGCCAGACAAAATCCTTTGGCTGGCCACAAATGGCCTGTGGGTCTTATTTTGCCCACCACTGCCAGAGAGGTGATAGGAGACAGAAGAGGGAGAGTTGCTACTAGCGAGTTATAAAGAGCTTTTAGAGATAGTAGAGTAGCTAGTAGACAGGAGAGCAGATAGAAGGAGGAGATAAACAGTAGATGGACAGGGACAGTAGACCAGAGTAAATAGAATAGGCCAGATAATAGACCATAAAGAGAGGATAAGTAGGAAAGACCCAGGCCTGTGGCCCCAGCAGAACAGCAGAGTAAGTGGTAGGAGGGATGAATCCCAGCTGTGGCTGCAAAGGGGAGAGTGGTCTGGGTGCTGGATCCGGCTGGTGCCTGATGCTGCCTGACACAGAGCTCGGGTCCCCTGGGCCTCCTGCTCCCAGCACCTGGCAGCTCACTCCCACCTCTCTCCCTCCATTTCAGAACAGCTACTCCACCCCAGGTGGCAGGGAGGGACAACTGAAAGACTGCCCAGTGTGGGTAAGGGGCTGGCAACACCTTGGACTGATCAGTGCTATCCTTCAGTGCCCACCTCTGAGGAGGGACTGAGAGGATGAGCCCAAGCCCTATGGAGCCCAGACCTAGAGGGCCCCAGATGAGGCCTAAGCCCTCTGGCCCAGCTAAGCACCCCTTACTGCCATGAGGGCAGGAAATAAGGGGGGGCATGATGCCTTGTGAGCTCTGTGACTGTGGCTGTGGTCCTGGTGGAGATGACAGAACTGCCAGAGTCCTCCCAAGGCCCTCTGTGCACCTGGACATGGGCTGAGCGCTTCTCTGCTTGCAGCAGTGATGCTGCTGGCTCTTGCCAGGTCTCCTGGGGCTGCCTCTTGGCAATGAAGTAGGTATAAGCTAGGTTGCAGCTGGCCCCACAGCCTATCCCAGCAACCCTAGGAACCCACAGACCAGTCTGGGTACAGGCCACCTTCCTTGGGCACCCACCATGCCACCATGAAGAGTGTGAAGACATGGGACAGGCAATGTGCCTAGGAGCAAGAACCAGGTGAGTGGCTGTGAGGTACTTACAGAGCCATGCCCTGCTCCTGTTAAAGGCAAAGATGATCTGCTGGCCATGGGGGTGAGCAAGGACTGCTGGAGTCCTCCCTGCCCCAGCCTGCTCCCTGAGTCAGCATGTCCCCTGCCAGCCATTGCCACAGCTTTGTGTGTACATGTGTACATGTGCCTGGGAAGCCATGCTGGTGGCTGGCATGTGTGTGCACGCATGTGGTGCTGTGTCCCCAGCAGGTGTTCACTTCTTCCCATGCTGACTCTTCTGTCCTTCCCTCCCATAGACTCTCCATCCCAAGACACTGAGGCACCGACAGAAGCTTCCCAGGCTGGCCATGCAAGGAGCGGTAGGTCCCCTGGCCGGTGGTGCCCCAGGGCAGGGGTTCACCATATGCAGGGGCACCTACCTAATGGAGCCCATAGGCTTGAGGGGCTCAGACCCTCGGGTCCCAGGGGAGGGCACTGCTGGCATAGTGACTGTTCCCTGTCCTTTCATCGTAGGGCCTCAGCAGAAACCTCCAGAGCAGGGACAAGCCTGAGGCTACAGGAAAGAGACCTGTGGCCCAGAGAGACCCAACACCCTGCGCATGCCAGTGGGGCCTTGGCAGACCAAAGGATTGACCATGTCCTGGCCTGCAGCCCTTTGCTTCCTGAGTAATACTTGCTACCCCAGCTCCTGACATCCTTCTGGTGGCCTGTGCACCCATGTGCTGGGGCAGTGCGTGTGCCATGCGTGTACATGTGGGAGGCAGCAGTGCATGTACATGTGTATATGTGCCTGTGAGACCTTGCTGGTGGCCACTGTGTACATGTTTGTGCACCCATGTCCCCTCTGCTGATTCCCTGATCTTTCCACCCAAAACACTGTCGTCCTCTAGATGGCAGGGCCCAGAGCGATCCCAAACATGTCATCTGGGGAATGGCAGGTCCACTTGCTGGCCATGCCTCCGAGGCTGGAGTGGGCCATGTCCAGGGGCCAGGGATGCCAGGTGGGGTCCTGTGAAGCTCCATGACCTCTGGGAGCCCAGGGTCATGAAGGTCTCAGACCCTCTGCACGCAGGGCAGAGTATTGCTGGTGCAGTGACTGTCCTCTCTCACCGGCCCGTCCTAGAGCCTGTCATGAAAGCCTGTGTGACCAGCGGAGGACTAGAGCAAGTGACCTGGCAGCACAGTGATAGCACAGTGGAGGTTCTGCTGGTTTGTCTCCTCCTGGGCCTGGATCACAGTGCTACTAAGTGAGACAGCAGCTTGTGGGGGATGCTGATGCTGCTCTCTGCCTGGTGGTAGCCTCTGCACTGGGAGCAGCTGGATATGAGCCTCCCCACCATCCTGTCCGGTTTTATTTCCAACCTCCTCTCTCCAAGCCTTGCCCATGCAGGGGATTCTAATCATGTGGCCTCCTGGATGGCTTGAGGCCCAGTCTGCACAGGCTGGCATCCCAGTGTGGGAGCATCCCAGGAAGGGAAGAGGCAGATGCTCGATACTCAGCTTTCAACAGTACCCCAATTTCAAAGCACCTGGCTCAGATGGGGCAAAGGTTTTTGGCAGGCAGCTACATATCAAAGCTTTGTGTTCTACCTGTTTCATGACTAGTTTCATGTTGTGACACTTGTTTTTGTACGGGGAGAGACAGTCAGTAATAAATCCCTACTGGCTTTCTCTTCCTAGGATGCAGCCCATGAGGAGGGCAGAGGAGAGGCCAGGAATCCAGGCCTAGGGGAGCTCAGCTGTGCACTGAGCCAAGGAGACAGACAGCAGGAGAACAGCAAGAGTCACAGAACGGAGAAGTATCCTCCATGGACCCAACTGGGAGAGGAAAGAGGCAAGGCTCCAAGTCATCTTCCTCCAGCTCCAGCTGGATGCTTTTGTTCTATGGCAGGCAGCAAAATGGCCACAAAATGACACCAGAACCCAAGGCAGGAGCCCAGCAAGCTCAGGGCCTCCAAGAAGGGCCTGTGCAGGCAGCTGGAGGAGCCAGGCACAGATCCTGGGCAGAAAGCAGGAAAATGACTTTTATGCTGGGATCCCGCAGGCACACAGGCCCATTGTCCCATTTTAAGGACCTGCAAAATACCTGGAGGAGTCTTGGCCCTACTAGGCCAGAGTTATGCTAAACTCTAGTTAAGCTAAGGGGCACCACAATGGCACTGGGGAGTAGCAAGCTTAACTGACTTCCGGACACAGTGAGCTAAAGCACTGATTCATTGTGGGAAACGGCAGCTGAACAAACTGAAGAGTAAAAAGTTAGAACTCGATGGTGAAGATAGGAAGAGGCCAAATGGACTCAGCTGGCAGGGAGCTGGAGATGCGCCAACTCAGCAGCAAGTGAGCTGGGGATACCTGAACTCAGCAGGGAGAGCCAAAGTGGTTACATGCTTGAAAACTATGACAGGGCTGGACAGAGCCCAGCACAAACCATGGCCAAGCTCAAGGGCCTCTGTCTCAGTCTCAGTGGTGTGCCATGTAGTCAGGTGTAGTCAGGTGCTGCAAGGGAAGAAAGAAGCATCATGAACACAGAAGGCCCAAAGCAGGGGTGTCCAACCTTTTTGAATGTGGGGCCAGATCATGAACTTTTTATCACCCAGTGGGCGGGTGAGCCATATTCAAAGACCTCACAGGAAGTGGTATCACATCAGGAAGTGATGTCATGTGACCTTTGACACCAATGAAGTTGCAAGAAGTGACAATGAAATGGGTCTGGAAGTGTGGTTTAAAATCCAAAATAAAAACAATATAAAAAGCAACAAAGAAATAATACCAAACACTTGGCTAAAATAAACACTTTTGCTTCTACTCCTCAATGAATGAAAGAAGCATAATGCAAGTCAACAGATCAAATGTGGAAAAGTTATCAGCCAGAGTGGAAACTAATCAAAGCAACGAAGTGTGGGCATTTTTTTAGAATCATCTTCAAGAAGATTTACTTTTATTGAATTAATAACTTGTTAGTAACACATCTTTAACAAGTAGTAACAAGTTGAACCTCCAATCCCGCACAAAGAGAAACAGAAGCATCATCTGGATGAAGGTGGTAGGACCTCAAGGAGCAGCAGGGGGAGAATTTAGATTTATCTGGCCCAGTGAAAGATGCTTACATGCCTCTTCATTCACCGCCATCATATCCAGTGTTACCCCATCTTACCCCTTTTTTCAGCAATTCACTATCTGCTGGTTAAAGAGGCAGAGGGCCTCCATAAAAGGGTATCATTGCTCCGAAGCTGGTATTGCTTATGGTCTTTACCACTCTGCCTTGTGCTTGGCTGGACTAGCGGGGTGAATTTCCATCGGCATACCCAGCTGCAAAGTAGCAGACCAGGCATTGATTAAAATAACCCTCCCAAAATGGTCTTGGAGACTAGCTTAGCTGAGTCACCAGGCTGAAAACAGGTCACCTGGTCTAAGGTCAGGTTGGTGGCAACCACAACACAACCAGCCCTACTGTGTTATAGCTCAGAGAAATAGAGAGGAAAGGGGGAAATGGAAACAATAGCTGATCTGGCAAAAGCCTCTCTTGTTTGTACTTTTGCCAAAGATCTGATAACTTATCTCATAGTACAACAGCTACTGCACTGAAGAGGATGAAGCAGAAGGAAGATGAACTACTGTTGTGTTTGTTCTCTTTTCTGGACACCATGCTTTACAGGCAATAGATAGCTAGTTAATCACTCCTCAGTGCTGGCTGAAGCTTGCTGTGCAAACACACCCAGGAAAGCAAGTTAGTTTAGCAATCAGAAAGGACCATAAATTATTACTCTTGCTGCAACTGTGGCCAATGGATTCAGCATCAAGACTGGGAGTCAGGCAAGCTGAACTATATTTCCAGCTCTACCACAGACTCACCACGTAACTTGGGGCAAACTGCCAATGCCAGATTTGGAAAGGGACTGGGAGCCCACTGGTTCCATGGGAATACCTGACCTGGACCCCATGAGGCAGCAGGCATCCTGCCACCAGTCAAACAAGACCTTGGGAAGAAATTTCCAACAGCTTCTTGCCAATGGGAGGAGGTAGAAATTAAAGAGAAAACCTCTTCCCCTTTTTTTTTGTCCATATGTTAACTGACGAGGCACAGAACAGAGCCTGAAAACCTCGCTGTATTTCCAGTACCAGCCCTCTGTTCACAGAGGTTAGAACAGCGAGGGAGTGGAACAGACTGCCTAGGGAAGTGGTGACTCTCCATCATCGGAGGTGTTCAAAAAGCTGTTAAAACATCTAAAAACATATAACTGTGGCTTTTCTCTTGTGGGCTGGCAGAGTTCCAGCCTGCAAGGGGCTACTTGGGGGCCCCCCCCGTGCACTGGGGGCACTGGAGTCTGGCGGTAGGAGCAGTGAGGGACACTGGGTCGGGACTGACCATCTATGTTTACAAATGGGTCCTGGTACAAGAAAGGTTGAGAACCACTGATCTAGACTGGGGTGGGCAATTATTAGAGGCAGAGTGTAGCAACACAGGGGACAACCCTTGCTCCTCAGGCTCCCGGTTGTGAGCCAGATAGGATCAATTGGTGGGCTAGATACAGCTCGTGGGCCATATTTTGCCTACCCCTGATCTAGGCCTGTGTTCTACTATGGGTACTTCTCACGCTTCTGGGCTTTGCTGGTTGCCCCCACCACCACCCTTCCCCTTTCTGCTATATGTGCCAGGGTGTTTTTAAGTCTTCCTCAGAGGTGCTGGGTGTTGGCTACAGCTGAGGCTAGGGACTTTGACTGGGGTGTGCCAATGCTCCTTCTGGGACCAAATCCAGAGGTTTTTGGCTAGAGGGTTATGTCCAGAGGTAGCCATGGGTGCCAGAGCATAGCACACAAAGACATTTTGCTTGGCATGTGTGCCTTAGGGCAGACTTCAGGGGAAGGGCCAGGGCTGTGCTGCCACAACAAGGCTAGAGTCCCTCATGGCTCCCTTGCTGTCTGCCACTGGCACACCAACATTTTACAAGTCAAGGCTATGGGTGTTTTTGGCACTGCCCAAAAAACACTGCCGAGCCCTGGTCTTGCCCCTCTGCTCGGGGACCCGCTGATCGCCAAATTTGGGGTCAGGAAGGAATTTTACCCCATGGTCAGATAGAGCAAACTGGAGGTTTTTGCCTTCCTTTGTAATGCTCCAGCACCCATCTTCTGGGATGTGGGTACAGCCGGCTCCCAGGAGGGAAGACCAGGCTTTGAGGTTAAAGCCTTGGCCCCAGGAGATGGGGTCAGAGCTGAGCCTCCCTCCCCTGTGAAAGGCAGGGACCACCCCGCGCACACACAGGCGCCAGGAGCCCACAGTCACTGGCCTGGCCCCGGGGGAGGCGCCGTCTTCCCGCCCTGACCCCGGCCCCAGCCTGGCCCGGCTCAGCCCTATCTGCAGT